TCGGCAATCAGTCCGACACTCATCCATAGTCTGCCTATGGGTCTTCTATACCCTTGGCAATCAGTCAGACACTCCTCCTTAGTCTGCCTGTGGGTCTCCTATACCCTTGGCAATCAGTCAGAAGCTCATCCATAGTCTGCCTATGGGTCTCCTATACCCTTGGCAATCAGTCAGAAGTTCCTCCTTAGTCTGCCTATGGGTCTCCTATACCCTTGGCAATCAGTCCGACACTCCTCCTTAGTCTGCCTGTGGGTCTCCTATACCCTTGGCAATCAGTCAGAAGCTCCTCCTTGGTCTGCCTATGGGTCTCCTATACCCTTGGCAATCAGTCACATGCTCCTTCACAGTCTGCCTGTGGGTCTTCTATACCCTTAGCAAGTAGCAACAGCTCCCAATTGACTGACACAGTCCAGTGCTGCTACCCGACTATCTTACCTCTGCAAATAGTTGTATCTCTATCCTCCAGTGCTCACCCAGGATCTTACAGTGCCCTGTGTCTCCTTTAGTTGGGCATTCTTCCATAGACAGAACACACCATTCAAAATGTTGGTGGCCAGTATTGACAGTCACACAACTCACTGAGGAGATTTATTTGTACCATTGAACTTGGTGCTGCTGCTCATCTGCCTAAATACTTTTTGAAACTTTACAAAAGTCAAAAAGGCAAACAAGTAAAAGGGACTCTTAAGTCTCAGGTAAAAACTTTATACATTTACTATTCAGAAGAGATAGACAAAGTGGTGACCAATGTTTAAAACAGTTATTTCACTTTAAAATCGTCCTGAATAACAAGCTTCACTGTTGGATTATTATGAATGAACGTACATATACATGTTTAACCCTAACTCCCTAGGGTGTGTGCAAAATCATATTAAAATTGGAAGATTCAGGGCTGTTAAGGATAATAGTTGTATTCATAATTTGATGGCATTGTAAATGTCCTTGGGAAAAAAAGATGTCAGAATAGGCATTGTTGTACCTCAGTCCTGAATACTGTTTTTTCATTGGCTCAGGCCCCACAATGATCACATGACAGGGTGACATAACCGCGTGTCACACTCAGTGCTAGGCATCATATCAGCCAGTATTGTATATTACACACTCGCGCACACACACAAGTGT